TCTAGAGTACAAATACCGCGTGATATTTGTACTCGTCTATGGCGTTTTTTGTACTCTACGAAGTGTAGTTGGATAATAAGTCCATTTATTTAAGGGAAGAAAGTGACTTGTGTTCCTGTCTAAAAGATGTTAAAGGTCTAGTTTTCGTAAAACCGTAAACCATACCTTTTCATCTCAACGTTATATATTATGCACAGCTCAAAATATCCACAAAATATCCAAACACAACGAAATCCCTAGTGTTAGGCTCTATCCTCTCCTCTTGTACTATGATAAGGGTGTAACCTACTTCAGAGGATCACGTAAGTGATGAAGTCACGCGACCAAGATTTGTCTCTTGTACTATGATAAGGGTGTAACCTACTTCAGAGGATCACGTAAGTGATGAAGTCACGTGACCAAGATTTGTCAAAAGTCACGTTATTTGATGTAAATGGCCTTTCAACAATAGAAGTTTTGATGCAAACCTGAAATACATATATGCAACAATTAGCATTTTAGAATAAGATAAAACTCTCTGTCACGGATAAGATGCCAGTAGCCTTCCATCACTTTGTAATTCTAGTCAGTGTTTGTCGCCTTGAAGTGAATTGAGTAATGTTATTTCGTAGGATCTGCTGTCACAACGGGGGTGCATATCGCGAATATGTGATGATATTTTCTCTTATCACTCAGCTGTTAAAATGCAAAGTTTTCCTTCTGGAGATGTATGGTGTATCTTTATTGTGTTCTTAAGAGTACCCTAGAAGAAATCTGAAAGACAGCATTCAAGATTGATGGAATCAAATCAGTAGAATAATGAGAACGAGAGCTAACCATACAACAATGGAAGAGTCAACAAAAGTGAGTTCTAAGGTAATTGTGTGTAACTATCATCACGTGAACTGTGCTTTGTCACGAAGGAGGAAATAAACATTTTGGCAAAGGGACGAACAATATAAGTACTAAAATTCCCAATTTTCTCAGGCAGCTGGAGTATTGTCTTAGCTGGGATGAGACCACATATCGTTTCACAGTTCCTGATTTGTTTTTGTGTAATTCATTACTCAGGTAAGTCCCTGTCTAATAAAACTTATAAGATTTTGTCAACCGTGTAAGTGTTAAATTCGCAAACGTATTAGGTAAAAATAGATCAGTTCTTAACTATGGCTAATCCGAGTTGTGCAAACAACGAATAAAAGTAATCAGCAATACTGCACACCGAAACGTCTAATAAGCTATTTATCTTCCAAATGCTTTATTTTACATGCATTTCAGTCTTATAAGGCGAGAAAAGCGAAACAGATAAAAACGGTGTAGCAAGTACAGCCGAACGATTGAACAGTTCTTTTTTACAGTACGAAAAACCAACTCTACAATATGGCGTGATATTTGTACTCGACTGATTCGCGCTTTATTCTTACTCAACTCGGGGCAGTCCTTATTAAACTCCTTAATTCTCCGATTTCGAGAACTCCCAAAAATTTAAGTATCTAGTACGCCTTAAAAAATGATCAATTTAATTCGAAATGTATAAGTAGCCTTTGTCAAATAAATCGCGTAAAATATCTGTTTGACGGGCGTACGTTGATCACTATGATTGATTCTCTAGTATCAAGTAATGAAATTACTGTATTGTTCATGAGTATGGGCTAATACCACCGGGAAAAACATTGAGCTATTGCAGTGCCAAACTTTACAGCCCGGATAGTTTCTGGAACGAGGAAATTTCATCATGTTACACCTATTCTTAAGCAGTTACAGTGGCTACCAGTTATTAAACAACTTGCGGTAAGGGATGCTGCCATGGTATTTAAATGCTTAATTTGACTCGCACCTCCATATCTTTGTCAGAAGTTTAAAACCAGTTCTGAAGTGCACAACTGGAACCCCAGGAATAGGGACCGCCCACATATACCACTCTGTAGGACGGCTGCAGGTCGGCGCGCATTTACTTTCAGAGGTCAAAAGCTGTGGAATAGTCTCCCGGATGAGTTTCAGTCTATCACTAATTTAGATGTATTTTAAGTAAAAATAAAACAGCATTTTTTAAAGGTCTTTTTGGAAAACTAAGTTTTAGATGTTTCACATTGTAAATTAAGCTGAAAAGTCTTTTTTTGAGGAGATTTATAAAGTTATTATTATTATTATTATTATTATTATTAAATCACTATACTCTTAGGTTGACCCGGTGTTTTATGAAAATCGACTTGGTTTGGATACGAATATGCTTATTGTTTCATATGGTCCATATTACCTGATTAACAATATCTTCGCAAGAAATAACTTTCATTTCGTTAAAAGCACACTATGCCATCAGTCACTGCTCTTCCAGATAAAAACATAAACCTTTTTTAGAAGTTCGTCTCTAACTGAGATTAAGGAGGCTTTGACATAAATTTGGGAATGACAAATTATTTTACAATCTGCATTCTGCTGAGTTATATGAAGCATTCCCATCTCCACATATTAAGAACTTTATGTATTGACTGGAAAATTGAATCAAAATTTTTACGTGTTGCTATGTGATACTCATAGTATACGCCCAGTATATTTATTTATGTAGAAACCTAGCGTTGGATTTCTTCTCGCCTAGGCTTTTTGGAGCCGATTGTATACAATTTTAGTTCATCGTCATATACAAACACCAGAGTAATTCCAAAATATATTTAGAGTTAAGAAAAGATCAGAAATACGTCATATCATCTGAATAAAGGTTTAGTTTTGTTACCTTTTTATTGATTGACAATTTTCCCTTCGCAGCAAAGGCATATCGTCGAAAGAGCCCCCTTTCTGTGCCAGTGATCATTAAAATTTCGTTGGTGAAACAAAAAGATAAATTTGTAAAATATAAAATTGGTTTGTGAGGGTGCTTGCTGTCTCAAACCTATCTCGCTCAATCTCTCAGTAGCCTTGTCTTTTGAGAATCTACAGTTCTGTAGGCAACAAATGTTGCTTAAAAATAAATTTGGCACTAAATCATTTACACTCAATGTTTTGTTGAGAGGATCCTCTATTTCCATGCACACATTGTCTGTATGTGATCCCTGCTCTTTGGAAGAGTAGGTGATTATTCCTTATTTTTGTTCGTTAATTGATGAAAACAGATGTTAATTACCGGAATTTACAATCATGGCGATGAGGACAATGATGGCGCTAATATGTGTATTCTGGATAATTTGACATCTTAAAAGCATTGTAATTGTGCCATATTTAACGTCACGTTATTTTTGTACCTGAGTGAAATTTTTTCTTTGATTAATTCAAGGCAAGGGTAAAACATTGCTCATTTTGCCACTCACACATCTTTATTTGTACTAAAATGAAGTTAAGATAGTTTCACCATTCTTAACAATTCCTGTACATAGAATATTTAATGAAAAGTCTGCCCTTATGGTAATTACTTGCGAGATGGTACTATTGGATATAAACCGACAAGTGCGTAAAAGAAATACGGACAAACTTTCCATGGTGTATTTTTTTTTATTATATACCTACAGAGATTCAATTCTTGTTTAATGACAGTTCATTGCTCAACAGATTCAAGTGAAACTATCAAAAATTGATCATGAAAGACGTAAACCATAAAAAGTACCTTGCCGATAGAAACGATGCAACACTGGAGACAGCGGCAAAAAAAATAACAATTATGTACCTGACAGTGTTTGAAACAAAGCATCGTATGTTTAAGGGTTGCATAATGTTCTTTGTGTTTTCGTCGAAAGTAGTGAATAAACTCCTCGGAGTACATAACGCCAGGCTATTCCACATAAACCTTCACAGACGTCCTCAGTAGTCTCTTGTAAATAATTTGACGCAGTAAAAAGCCGTACGAGCAGATTTTGATAATTTCCCAAACAGTTTTCCCAAAAGGCGAAATGCTGCTAAAGTAGATTGAATGACAATCGACTTGAAACACTTCACAAGTGACAAAACATGATAGGTGGCATCTGTTTAGACGTGTGGTTTCCTCACACGCGACGAAAGCGATACGCGCCATTTGATTGGTCCTCGGCTTCTTCGACCAGCTTGCGACATCTGAAGACTTATTTCGCGCCTTTTCAGTGTATAAATCTTAGTATGTATGTCTATATATAATATATCGTCGTCGTCATGACTATCCCTCGAGACGAGGATGATGGTCTTCATATCAATTACCCTGCTTGTGGACTCTAAGATGACTTATGAGACCAACTTTGGCCTTGAATGTTCTTTGGCACTGAGGAGAGGTGGTTCTAGATGGCGGCGCGTATCAAGAAAAGCTGATCAAATTCAAAGACGAATGGCACTGATGAATGAGCTTCTGTATAACTCCATATCCCCTATGGGCCGCTATTTTGAGCTTCTGCCGTGGCCGGGGAGATAATTTCTAGCTTCCTGTTGTGTCTCCTTTCTCAAACGTCTCTTCTCCTCTAATGCTGCACATCTACTTGTTTCAAAGAACGCTGCCTCTTCATGTGTGGATGCAGGCCAGAAATCTCTGTTCTTTGCATCAGTTTTCCAGGTTCTGATATCAATATTGCACTTCTTTAAATTGGCTTTTAGAGTGTCTTTGTACCTCTTTTTTTGACCAGCTCTCTTCCTCGATCCTTCTTTAAGTTGTGAATAGAAGACTTGTTTTGGAAGTCGCCTGCAGTATTCTTCTTCTGATGTCTTCTTCGAGGAGTTCTCAGCCTATCTCGAGTCAATCATTCTTTCCTCAGAGCCGTTGGTGATAACGGGCGACTTTAATAATTATGTAGATGTTGTCGCGGATCCTGTTCGCACGAAATTTCTTGATCTACTCCAAGCGATGGATCTGCTGCAGCATGTTACTACGCCAACTCACGAGTGGGGGCACACATTAGATCTAATTATCACACGGCAATGCGACGCCCTCATCAAGGATCCACCTGTTAGTGATTATCACATATCTGATCACTGATCTGTTACTTGTCTGCTCAATCTCCACAAACCAATAATCACCAAGAAGACGATAACGTTCAGAAAGATTAAGAATACTGACACCGCTGTACTGTCTAATGAGCTTGCTGCTTCAGATTTATGTTAGTTACACTCCAGACGATCTCAACGATCTGGTGCACTGTTATAACACCACTCTTGCGTCTGCATTACACCGTCATGCTCCACTTGTTAATAAATCTATTCCAGTGCGTCCTCTGGTTCCTTGGCTTAACAACGATATTAGGGAAGTGAGAAAGGAGAGGCGTAAGGCAGAGAGAAGATGGCGGCGCACTGGCCTCCTTTCTTATTTACGGAGGTATAAAGACTTGAGAAATAAAACTAACAACCTTATGACGGAGGCGCACAGAGTGTTTTACAGAGAACTCATCCATGAGAACTGTGGCGATCAGAGGAGATTATCTTCGTTAACAAAGCGGTTGCTTGGAGGTGGTCGTGAAACTCAATTTCCACCTTTTAAGGATAAAACTGCTCTTGCCAATAAGTTCGGTGAATTTTTTGCCTAGAAGATTGTCACTATTCAAGATAAATTCGATGAAATGTCAGTTGATGTGTCACCTCGTAACACTACCAAAAAAGATAACCTTGAAGTACACTTTAAGTATACTACAAGTATACTGCATCAATAATAGTTATACTGCAGTCATACTTCAACAATACTTCATGTTCGCTCATTTGATCGCTGACCTGAATGACCCCGGTGACCAATGTGACCCACGTGCTTCAATGACGATATGACCCACAATGCCCCTTCACCGGATGCTCAGAATAGAGTGCGAAATTAATTATTCTCGTATCAAAGGTCAAGTTGGTCCAAGCTAACCATCATTCAGCTACATTACGTGTTTATATATTTATCGTTACTTAACCATGTTAAAGGAAGGTAATACCAACTCTAGAAGATCGAACAAGGCTCCCAAACGATTGAAGGATCAAGGTTTGTGACTTTTTGAGTTAACTCTGAATTAATATCCTTTGCTCGAAGCACGTCGGAATGTGTATGCATAAATTATCAAGCATACATCGTCAGGATAGTTTGAAATTCGCTATTTGCCCTACGAAAAGGATTTTTATCGCTTAAATTCAATTACTTGTAACTACTAATCCTTGGGTTCATAGCTTAAGATGCCTTGATTCGCCATGAACTAAAGAGATTGGAGCATATAAGCGATCGTTTACCGCTTGATTTTGTCTTAATAGCCCTTATCGCATTTACGCCCACTGTACGAGAGCTCAGCGGACTTTGAAGTTTCGAAACGAGGCTATCGGGTCACAGATAAAACTTTCAAGTAAAATCGAAGCAAACGGCTACATTTGGAGGCATTTTTATTCATTTTCTTAAGGATATAGCATGTTCTCGTCATAGTTAGACATTGTATTGCGTACGGGTACAACAGTCTATTCAGTGAATCGGCAACTGACGAGATCCACAAGATTAGGATCGAAACCGCGGTCTTGCCAAACTTGTTCAACTATCAAACTAGGGGCGAACAAAACGCACATAAAAGACCTCTCAAATAAAGAACATACAAACGACCAGATTAATTTACTGGCAAAAGGGCTTAAATTCATTCCAACACCCGCTACAAAACAAAAACAGATCAGACAACAACTATTGTGTGACTTTGATCAGTTCGCAAGGAGAATGCGCCTGATTTATATATTCCGAGGGGAGGACAAAAAAAACCCATCCCTGCCCCGTCAAATCTACATGGATACCACCAATATAAAAATCAGTAGCCCTTGAAAGCTATTTAGAAGAGGTTAAAAGTGACCTTTCAGAAATAGAAATTACAAAGCCAAAAGATAATTTGCTTCCGGCCGAACGCCAGGCGCTGAGGGCCTTGAAACGTGACTCTGAGTTAAACCTCAAAAGGGCCGACAGAGGAACAACAACCGTAGTCATGAACAAACGCAACAAAATTTTGCTGTTCCTTTCCGAAATGACAGCCACTCTTTCAATCTTCCTTTCGTGATGCCAGGACAATTACCACTAAGAATTTCAACATATTCCTCGATAGAAAAAAGCACAGATTCTAGAGTTATGTAGTCAGACATGGAGTGTTTCTGGTGTTTCTGGTGTTTCTCGAGAAACGTTGACCCGATAGCCTCGTCCTGAAACTGTAACTCCGCGGACCCTTTCCATTGCAGACACAAATGCGATAAGGGCTATTCCATTTGGTTGTGAAATATATAGATGGTTTGCACGTTTCGTCATTGCCGCCATGTTGGTGGACGTAAACAATAGATATCTCATTAGCTTCTTTTGTTGGTCCACCAGCATTTGTTCCTTTCACCATTGTTACCTGTGTCTCTAGAGATTGATTGGAAACCACCTATTCCAGAAACAGATTGCAGGTCTTTTGAAAGAGATTGTTCTAGTCCAAAATACTTCCCAAATTGTATTCAGAATGCGAAAATGACATTTATTTAGGTTTCTTGTTTTTGATTTCAAATGTCTATTCATGGCTTTCCCTCTCATTTTCGAATTTGGGCTCTAGAATTATGCATTAAGGACATTCAAAAGTGAATGATTGATGGGCGGTTGCTATTGAACGACACGAAGAATAAGTTTCGTGCCATCGGAACTCGTCAGTAGTTAAGCAAACTTCGTTCTTCTAGCATAGAAGTTGGCAACCAGAAGATTGATCGTTCTCCCAGCGTTAGGAACCTTGGCGTTATGTTTGACGAATCTCTCGGGATGAACAGGCATATTAACCAGATATGCAAGGCCTCCTTCTGTTATATTCAAAACATTAGGCGTATATCGAAATACCTATCCAAGGAATGCAGACAATCATTAGTCCATGCTTAGGTAATTTCAAGGCTGGATTATTGCAATAACATATTATATGGGTTACCCAAGTACCAGCTATCGAAATTACAACGCATACAGAATATGGCAGCCAGGCTTATAACGGACACAATGAAATTCGATCGTATTAATCCTGTACTATTCAACTTTCATTGGCTGCCAGTAAATTGTCGTACTCAATTCAAGATCTTGATGATTACTTTTAAGGCGATCCAGGGTATGGCTCCTGGCTATTTAAGTAACCTGATATGTATTAGATCATCGTCTAGATATTCGTTACGCAATAATAATACTATATTTTTAGAACGTTTAAAACGGGTTATGCGCACAACTTTAGGTGGCCGCTCGTTTCATGCCTCTGCGCCTGCGCTATGGAACAGATTGCCTGCGCATATCCGCACGATTGATTCGCTAGAGCTATTTAAGAAATCTCTTAAGACCTATCTTTTCAAGCTAACGTTTTAGATCTGCACTACAATCTTATCGGTATTTTGTATTTACTTATTTACTTTTTATTCATTTATTAATTTATTGTAATTATTTATTGTAAATAGTATCTTTATCGTAATTATTTACTGTAAATGTCAATTGTCTTGGATTGTAAAGTGTCTTTGATCATCCTATAATGTTAAAGGGCGCTATATAAGTAAATAAATTATCGCAGAGAAATCAACTGAATGCTACATTCTAATCATGCAGCACAGGGCGAAAACCGTAGCCTGTGAGCCATGGAGTAAAACATAAATGTACATTAACTAATCCTAAAAAGCTTTTCCGTTGTGTCTACGGTCTTCCTCCTAACAGGAACTGAAAATGCCACCTTGAAAGTCCGGGCAATATTCAGCGTGCCCGAGAGCACTGCCCTCTGCATCTTTGGCAGTACGTCTGTGCTTCTGCCTCCCACCAGCTCGCGCATCATGACATTCAGCTCCCGTGACCACCCCCCGAGGGCATCCATAATAATATTATATTGCTTCACCTCGTAGCCTGGGAACTACTGCCTTAGTTCCCAGCGAAGGGGTCCGTACTTCAGTGTCTTCTCTTCATCCTTTCTTGTCCGATTGTTAACCCACGGGCAGCTCATTTCCAGCGTCACAACTCTCTTGCACATATGATTTACAATGCGTGCATCCACCCTATTGCATCTGACCTCTTGTTGATCAGCATATATAGGGACATCCCAATAAGCTTTAACATTCTCTGACTCATACACGGGCTTCGGCTTGTCGGGTGAGTACCAGGGTGGTATCTCGTCTATAAATCCCTCATCATACAACAGTTGGTAAAACAGTACCTTCAGTGCTGCGTCGTGTCTAGAGAGATACTTGCTCTGGGCCAG